AGAGAGAGATGAGAGAGAGAGAAGAAAGAGAGCAGGAAGGAGAGGAAGAGGAGACAGAAAGAGGGAGAGAGAGAGCAAGAGAGAGAAAGGGGGGGAGGGGTAGGAGAGAGGGAGAAGGAAGAGAAATAACAAAAACTCTGTGGAATATATTTGGGTGTTTATTTATTGCTTATTTTTTTGTTTAGGGGGAGGGAGGGGGAGGACGGGTGATAGGAAAGGAGAGGGAGAGAGAGACAGAAGAGAGAGAGAGGATGGGGGGGGGGGGGGAGAGGATGTGGAGAAGGAAATAAGACATATTTGGATGTTTTATAGAACTGTGCATGTTGTTTAGGTTACTTTATTATTTAGTTATCTTAGAGGAAGGAGAGGATGGGAGAGATGAGAGCAAAGGAAGAGAGAGAAGACGCAGGGTAGGAGAGAAGAAGCTAGGAGAAGAAGATAATAGATAAACCTGTGGATATATTTTCAATTGTTTATTTTTATTTGTTTCCTTTTGTTGTCGGGGGAGTAAAGGGAAGGAGAGGGGGAGGAGAGAAAGAGAGAGGAGAGGAAGAAAAGGAGAAAAAGGAAGGAAACAAAGAGAAAACTTGTGGATGTAAATGGTGTTTACTTATATTATTGAAAATGGATAGACCGAGGGAAAAAGGAGATAGGAGAGAGGAGAGAAGAGAGAGAAGAGAGAGAGCAGAGAGAGAGAAGTGAGAGAGAGAGAGAGAGAGAGAGAGGAGAGAGACAGAACAAAGACAGACAAGAACAGCACATAAGACAGAGCAGGAAGAGAAGGAGAGAGTAGAGAAGAGAGAGAGAGTAGAAGAGAGAGAGAGGAAGAAGGAGGAAGGAGACGAGAAGAGAGAAAGAGAAGAAGAAAGGAGGAAGGGGAAGGAAGGAGAGAGAGATAGGGAAGATGGAAAAGTAAGAAAGGGAAGAAAGAAGAAAAAAAAAACTGTACAAGACACTCCTGTGATGTATTCGTGTTTTTATTATTATTTAATTGGGTAGATGAAGGAAGAGAAGGATTTATTTAAGAAAGCAGGAAGAAGATGAAGGAGATGGAGGAGAGAGAGAGAGAAGCAGGAAGAAGAAGGAGAAGGAGAGGATGAAGAGAGAGAAAGTAAGGAAGGAAGAAGGAAGGAAGAGGAAACGACAGAAGAGATGAGAGAGAGAGAGGACGGAGCTACAGTGTACAAAACAAACCTGTAGATGTTTTTAGCAGTGTTATTTTTTCATTACTGGTGAGGAGACGGGGAGAAGGAAGGAGAGAGAAGGAAGAAAGGAGGAGGAAAAGAGAGAGGAGGAAGGGCGGGAATAGAGACAATGGAGAGGGAGAGATGGAAGAATGGGAGGGGAAAGTGGGGGGGACGAGAAGTTGAGAGACAAGAAGAAAGGAAAGGAAGGGATAGGAAGAAAATGGAAGTGAGGAAGGGGAGATAGAACGAGGAGAAAGAAAGGAGCAGCGGAGAAGAGAGGGAGAGAGAAGAAAAACAGACAGAAGGAGAAGAAACAGCGCTGATACATCACACACCACACACAGAGAGAGAAGAGAGAGAGAGGAGAGAGAGAGAGAGAGAGAGAGAGAGAGAAGAGAGAGAGAGACAGAGCAGAGAGAGACAGACAGACAGACAAGACAGACAGACAGACCACAGACAGGACAAGCAGACAGAGAAAAACAGACAGAGACAGAGAACACAGACAGGACGACAGACAGACAGTCCCAGACACCAAAGGCCCTGAAACAGAGCACCCGCCACCCGGGACACAGACAGAAAGTGGCGGGGAGAAGGGACAGCCCAACGAAGTGCTATGGGGTTCTGGACACTCCTCGCCACTTCACCGCCGACCCCGTTAACTTCAAGGACAATGACATTTCTCTTCCTTAACCAAATTGACAAGTTTCGACGCCTTCCAAACCCTCTTAGCTGGAGTGGGCGGCCAGTTTTGCGAGTCTCGTCTCTCGCGGGGCAGTTAATAGAAACCTCATTGTGGTATTCAAAGTGTCATTAGGTAGGCGAAAAAAAGTTGCTTCGAGGATTTTGTCTTCGTAATTACATTGCTTTTACTGCATTAGGCTGTAATAGAGAACGAGTGTGGAGAGGGGATGGAGAGGAAGGAGGAGAGAGAGAGAAGAGAGGGGGAGGAAGGAGAGAGAGAAGAGAGGAGAGGAGAAGGGGAGACAAACTGGGTAAGAAGGTACAAGTATTATAGAAAAAAATATACCTATATATATATATATATATATATATATATATATATAATATATATATAATATATTATAATATATTATATATATATATATATATATATAATATATTTATATTTGGACTTATTGCATTCAGCTAATCCACAAAATTTACAATTGCATTTTCGACTGTGTGTAATTTTTTCCTTCTTTCTTTTTTAAACGGATTTTCATAATGTCACTGACATACCAAAATAACTAATAATACAAGTGACTTAATGAATATACCGAAAACTTAAAGAACTTACCAAGAGTACATAGCAA